AGGCTTTCACAGTTGGCTAGGTCTAATTCAGCTCTTTCTTTACATGTAGAGAATAGCAAGTGTGATAGAGCCAAAGTCTTTGTGTTTGTTCCTTCGTAGAGCAAAGTAGACAGTGTACATTAGGAATCCTGATATCATCATGTAAGCTTCCACTGATCACAGAGTTACCATCTGTTTATAGTGTGGTTGCAAATCATATTTAATATGATGTGCATGAATAACTGTACTTCACAGGAACGTGCGACTAGAAGCAACATCCCGAGTCATCAGGTGCAGTCCAGGCTTTGCAATTGCAGAATAAAGATGAAGCTGATAAAGCCCCATTGTAAAACTAGTTAGATTTCATTGCACCTGTCCCTCTGGTTGGAGAAAGCTGATGATTAGAATTTGGCTTCTGATTTCCAGGCAGCATTTATTTTGGGCCAGCTCATGCCCATTGAGTTGATATTGTTTATTAGCTTAAAGACACTCTTGTCATACTCTTCCTCCGCATTACGTTGTTTCCCCTCTGCGTACTCCTGCGTGCAGTAACATTCAGGGTTTCTTGTTCATGGAGCCTGCAGCCACCCTTCTTCTCCACCTCCTATGTGATCACCTTTTTCTTGGGGCTTCTCGCCTTCCTGTCCAGAAAGCGGTCTGCGATTCCCTCCTCTCACTCAGGCAGACCCCTGACTCCTGCTAAGTTTTCTCTGCCAGTCTCATGCCCAGCCCAACCCCGATTTCTTACAGCTCTCTGTTTATTCTGTCTTTTTTAAAGTAGTTACTCTTTAACATAGGGCTGGAATTCTTCACTACAAATTATTTTCCCAATAGTTGAGATACCTTTTTAGTTGCTCTGACTTAAAGAAGCTCTAGGCAACTGCAGCATTATTTCGGATCTTGAAAACTGTGTACTCGATCGTGGCGCGTTGTGCATATGCACATGTACTGCACTAAACATTAGCATATCAAGTACCTACACTTGGTAGTGCTGCATTGCATCTGTGTCTGTAAGCACGAAATGGAGTGTGCTTCATCATTATCCATTTTTGAGGCAACTGATACAATTATCTCTACAGCTGGTTCAATCCATTGGATAACAAAGGGTTTTTTTTCTGTCCTTTTGGACATATCCTCAAAGACTGCAGACGGCATGTAAGGATTCAGTTAATAGTATCACATATTAAAAAAAAGGAAAATCATTCCTTTTAGTGCTGCAAATTGTGCTCGGTGGCTTGAATACAGATGTCTTTAAAATTATGATGAATAGTTTTATGGCTCTCATCTATATTAATTCGTCCACTACACAGTCTCTTTTGCTTTTCATATTAGTTGCTGTCATTATTGTCACATTTTCACCAGTGCAGTGAGAACAAAATGTAGGCTTTTTTTTCAAACAGTCTCTCTTTTTTCCAGTTTAAGTTCTCAGACTGGCATGCGTTGTCGCAGTATGTTTACACCTCCCTTCACTCACAAGGCAAGAGTAGTGAGTCAGAACCCCCATTCTCAGTGCTGAATCGGGATTTTAATACTACTCAAGCTCTTTTTTGCTCAGTTTTGTTGTCCTTGTCCTACTGTAGCTGAGCCCATTTCATAGCTCATTTGTTTAGAGATGATGAATATGATTAGTATGACTTTTTGCACTTTAAATGTCTGCCTCCTTCCTTGTTCAGGTTCGCAGTCCACATGATGTCAGAAAAAAAAGGAGGGATGGTGTCTGGAAGATGGATTCCCTCTTTCTAGGGAGAGGTTGCAGCTCCATGCATCCAAAATCAAAATTTGGAAAACAGTATTAAGATTTGCCATTTTCAGTGCTGTTTAGTCTACTGCTTTTTGGTATATATTGCTGTTTTTTGGGTGTATTACAAAGATCCATGAAAAAGTAGGTCTAAGTTGTCAACAGGGTTAAGTGTCCACACTGTTCGGTTTCTTATTTAGACAATTATGGTATGGATTTTTTTAATGCTGAAAGTTAAAGATTAGATGTGTGTTCTGACTGACTGAAGAAAGCTGCCTCTAACCTCCATTAATATTGTCCCAAGCAACTATTAATCTTTGTAGTCTGCTGAAAGTGGAAATTCAATCAGCCTGCCTCAGTCATGGCTCTTGTTATAAAAATGTAATAGGTGCAGTTCTTACAGGATCTCACTGCATATGGGAGTGAAAGCTCAGGGGAACCTAGTGAAGCCTTCTCAGAAACCTAAACTTATGAAAGCATGATTTTTCATCAAGACAATAGAGAAAAGGTTTTGGAGCCTGTATTTTACTTCTTATTGAAGCAGTAAGGATGCTATTTTCTTTCTTTTGTCTCAAAAATGATGTAGTAATCTGCATTATAATTGAGTCTGTCTTCTTGTTCCAAGGACAGTGTGCAGCAGTAAGACCATAATGTCATTTTATTTCCTGGTGTTCTGACATGCAGCTCCCAGAAACTGCCTTCAACTGCCTTTTTTTTAAGGCAGAACTAAATGGGCTTGGAGAGTGCATTTGTTCTTAACATAGTTCACCCAGCAAAAGAGGCAAAGCCATGGGTGCAGCAGTATGGGGAGAATTCTATTAATATGTCTAGTCTTTTATAAGAGAAATTTCACATCTCCAATTTGGTTATCTTTTAGAAATATTCAATTCATTCCACTTCTGGAAAAGTTATAACTTACTTCACGCTTTATAATGCACTTTACAACAGCCATTAGAAAAAGTCCTTTGTGCACACTAAACAAAAGTCAAGAAGTTATTTTCAGAGCGCAGCCAGCGAATTTATTCATGTTCTAAATCAATATTGCATTTGAAGTTCAGTGACTCTTTTCCCGCTCTGTACTGTCAGCGCTAGTGCTGAAACTGATTCTTTTCCGTCTTTCTTTATAGTATGCCTGGGATGCAAATGAGGAGTACCTCTTCAAAGCAATGGTGGCTTTTGCAATGAGAAGATATTCCAGCAAGAACACAACTCAGTAAGCATCTGTTCTGATTTCCTCTATACGTATTAACAGCACTGCACACAATGGACCATTCTCTGCAGTACTGAATTGTAGAAAATAGTATATACTGCTTCTAAAAACAAACTGTTCCAGTATATTTCTTTGAAACCCAGATATATGTTAAGCATCACACTCTCTGTCCTAAGCGATGTTCAGTCTTTGGGCCCATCCTCTGTTAATATAGACTGACACCACTGCGGACCTCAGTGGGACCGTGCTAATTTATTCTAGCAGAGTCTAGCAATAAGACATGATACCTTCCGAGAACAGAGCTGCAGGAGGCAAAGGGGCAAATTAGTAAAGTTGAGAGTGCAATACAGATCCTTCAATAGGCAGCTTCGATGCACATTTAGTTAGCATAAACTTCAACAGTGTGCTGAAGATGGTCTGGCTCAGGGAACTGGAAAATGGATAGCTATGCTAGTGCTGTGTAGTGCTCGGGAAAATCTGTCCCTAATATAGCTGCTGAACTGCCTCACATCAAGAAGTTTCAGATGTTGCAGTTCAGCATATAAATCAGCCACTAATTGAGTTTGGGATTAAATCTACCCTAAGGTATTGAATATTCTTCTCAGGCTTCTGATCCTTGCTACTTATGAAATTGGATACCAGATTAGACAGACCATTCAGCAAACTGTATCTTCAGTATGTTGCTCTCTTTCTTAAACAAGAAACATTGTCCATATATTTCTATAGGCCTATTATTTTCATATTGTTTTTCAATCTTAAAAGAAAGGTTTTATGGTTCTGGCAGGCTAATGAGGATAAGGTTTTCGATTTAATTCCAAGAAAAACTACTTCAGGTTGGCATTGCATTAAATGAAGCATATCCCACATTTGCAAAGACATTAGCTAACTTGAGTCATATGATGGCTAACTGTGGCTTCAGCACGTTTTTTTAAATAGAAGGTACTCTCCCCCTCCGTGCAACAGAAGTGCTTGGTTACTGTTTCATTTTGATTCCTGGGAAGCTGTCTCCTTTGAGCAAGAGAGCCACTTCACCAAGTTTTCCAGAAACAGCCTTGTTCTGAAATTATAAAAGCACGATTTTTCATCAAGACACAGTGAAAATGATACTTATGGAAAATGACTTCAAGATGCAAGCTAGTTAAAGGTGATTATTCAAGTTTTTTTCTCAGGTTTTCAACTTAGGAAAGTTTTAATCCAGTTTTCAATCCACAAAGATTCACTTTTGTATATTTATTTTTGTCCTAGGCACTGCTTTTTATTACTCACTTCCTCCCCTTTCAAAGTCGTGGTGCTTTGATACCTTGAAAAACCTGCATTAGAAGCCGGTGAACTTTATCCTCTTCAGGCACCATGGCTTTCTGCATACTCAACTAATATTAGAAAGCTTGGTGTAGGAATGGAAAAAAAAATCAAGCTAGTATGAAAGGAGTTAAAATATTAATGGAAATTATGTTTATTCACTCTGTGAAATCACTGAATTTATGCTCACTTAGTTCAGTTTCCTATCAAGACACTTTTTCCTTTGGATAGATATGCTAATGTCAGTGTTGCTCCAGTCTGGAGGTCAGATTTCACACATCGGCAGTTTCCTGCTGCTAACTTTGTCGAAAGAGAAGTTAGTATAATATTTGCAACCAGATTAGGTATGGGCATCTTTTCCTGTTTTTGAGACAGTATAGGGCTTCCTAATGGGGTATAGCTTTGGGGGGTGTAACTTGAAGGTATATCTGATAACTTTTCTAGGATTTTTAGATATCTTGAGGGGTTAGGATTAGGCGGCTTGTCAGTCAAAGTGCAGCTGTACAGCTCTAAGATCTGGTACAGCCTACAGTGCGAAAGGCTCTGGAGTTTCCTATTTGTGGACTGCTCCCAAACCTCAAGGGACCCTCTGCTGTGAGGGAGAGCTAGATGAACTTCTCAATATACCTCAAATAACCTGCCTTTTGCATGATAACAGGAAAGAGATGAAAGCCACCATCCTGTTAGGTGTCCTGGAAATCCACTCTACCTTCCCCTACCTTTGTGGATGGTAGTTAGTACAGTGTGGGAGAAGTACAGAGGGAGGAGTGTGGTCCATCTCCCATCCGCTTTGGAGTGTGGATGGAGGTGTGGGAGCACTCTGCATCCAAGCTGGTATAGCAGCACACAGCTGCTAGTTCCTGAACACAGGATCTGTGCACTCGTGTAACCGGTAAGGAGAGCAGCAGGGGCTGGTAGTGTAGTGAAGAGGGAGGGAGGGAGAAGCAAGAGCTCGGACCAGAAGCAAGGGCCTCACACAGAAGTCAGATAAGTCCCAGGCTGTATCCAACCTTAATTCCAAAGGTTCTTGCTATGCTTTAGACCAAGTAAAATCTTGTATCTTTGGTCACAAGAGAAGTTTTCTTGCTACTTCACTTGTTAGGTGGAGTTTTTTAATCTAGCAAGGGAACTTTTGGCAAATAAATTACATCACAGTATAGGAGCTTTTACAGATAAATGCCAACAGATTTTCTTCAGGAGCTGTGAAAGATCTGCTATCAATTATTGTGTCGTAAAAGGACAAACAAATTGCTTGTGACTGCATTGTGGTAACATCTAGATTCATCCAAAATATTGCATCTAATTGACTGAAGACTTTTGGCAAAACGAAGGTTTATGAAAAATTCACCAACATTTCACATAACCAAAAGCTAGTTCTGCCAGGGTGGAAACTCTGCACAGGGTGATAACCTGGCTATAACCTGGATGTGAAAAGCCCCTCCCACTTCAACATCTGATTATTTCTCATACACCCAGCCCTGCAGGAGCAGCCACAACTGATTCTCCCGCTTGAGACCAAATACCATTAACCTCAGTGAGCTGGATCAGGACCCAAACAGAGATTTGTCTGGTGGATCAGCATAGCCATTGCTGCAGCCTGTCCCATCATTGCTGAGACTCAGAAGTCACCTTTTGTTAGGCTCCTGAAGTTGGATAAAGCCAGCCTGTAATGACAAGCTTTTGAATGTGCTGCTGGAAACCGGAGTTGATGCTGTTGCCTTTGTGTCACCACTGAGTGATCCAAGTCAGAATGGACAGGATTGCACATTACATCCCAATTTCTCTAAAGTTAATTTCTAAACTAAAATTTAACAGGTTACGGAGCTGCATTTAACGTTTGAAAGACATGTCAATTGCTAAAGTTGTGTGACAGGGAAAACACACAATCCATCCGATTACTCAGTGATTATCAAAACAGATAAAATGAAGATTTCTTCTTCAGTAAAGAAATACAAATCCTTTATTTCCTGCTCCATGTATGGCCTTTTCATTTATTTTCAGTATGTACTATTCACTCATAAACTATATAAAACAACCTTTGATCTCTCAGTGTTAAAAAATGATCATCTGTAGTCTGTGTTGATAATCCCGGTTTCTCTAATCTGTGACTCATTTGAAATAATATGCATCTCTTTTGGGCCTGAGACTAGTTAATCTTTAGAGAAGAAAGAATGCAAGCACATTTACTTTCATTCAAGTAACAGAATCTCTTTATGCTACATCTCTCCTCGCCGTCCCATGTAGAAGAAAGCTACAGTTTTCCTCACAGAGTGACCAAATAAAGTTCATCGACGTTTTCTGTCTCTGTAAGAAAGCTCTTTCTAATACGAAAAGTATTATGACCATTTAGAATAACAAATATACGTTCATAGAGTTAAAGCTATTATGTCAGGGTGAGCCAGTGGCTCCTATTCACAAAAGGAAGAAAATAAACTTTCTTTTGTGGGAGCAGCTGCACAGCACGGCCCCGGAAGAGGCCTGATGCTTTCTGGAGAGCTCGAGATGGGTGCTCTGGCATTGAGGCCTGTGCTTCTCCCACTCGTGGGAGCCGCTGAATACACGCAGCTCCCTTTGAGTTCATGGCAGCAGTTTCTTATCCCTAAGCAACCCTCTAAATCTACATGAGGAACAATGATGGTGTTCTCAGGCCAAGAAGACCATCAGGGTTTCCTGCCTTCTACCCAGTGATGTTTGCTAGTATATATTAAAAAAAATGCAATTTAAGACTTTTGTCGTGACGCCATAAGATCAGGTCCAGGATCTTGTCATTCTGACGATAAGTCTCCTACCATCCCCATGGCAAATGTCTATCACCTGCTAGCCACTTTTGGCGCTGAAGGCAGTAAAAAGTTGTCTACATATGTGTTTACAAATACACTTAACAGGACTGTTCATCAAGAGGTCAGGTTTCTCAGATCGGTAGAGTGTGAAGCCTTACAATGCTTCTGCATGCTGTGAATCAAACCTATGTGGAGATACAACAGGGAAAAAGAATTGCCTACCTGCTACAAAGCAATTTTCACATTGGTACTTGTTGCACCAGTCTGTTTTGGTGTTTACTCAATCCCCTTTGAACTTGCTGTGAAAAGCAGTATTATTCTTTCTGGAGCCTGAAAGGATTTGCAGCATTCAGATTCTGCTGATGAAAAAGTGGCAGTGCAGCCAGGGTTTGGATGCTTATAATCAAGCAAGGATTTTAGACACAACAGGAAGCAGAAAGGAGGCAAAATCTGCATAGCTTAGGGTGAGCTTTACTGCCCGACTGATTTGATGCCTTTACTAGTTAGTGCTGCAGAGGGATTCGCTGCCTCTAATGCTGACTGACTACTGTTATCTCATGCTGAAAGCCTTGACATTGGGGGAAGACCCCTGCCTGAGGAGTGTTTTTGACTCTGTGAAGCTGTAGAGAGTGTCAGGATGTTCTGACTGTCTTTATCTACCCAATATATCTTTTTTGGGGGGAATGGACTTTACTCACTCACTACTTTTTGAGTGCATCTCTAGGGCAATATGAACTCAGACATTTTACCTGGACGCGTTTTTGAGTGTGCCACAGAAATTCCAGCTCTAGAGAACTGTGGTAGCATGAAGGTTCAGGTTCCAACGTTGTAAATTCTCCTGATGCAAAACTTCCTCTGCAGATGCAACTTTTGATAGGTTGTGAAATCAGCAAGAATCCTTCAGCCACCAGCCAAAAGTAGACTTTTTTTCCCCTCTCCTGTAAATTTTGTGCTTTACTTTTATTTTAGGAGGAATAAATCTACTTTCATTTTCTGACTGTTGCCAGCAAACTGATGTGAACATTTTTTAAAATCCCAGAGGGTAGCTTACTCCTTTTATCCATGAAAATGCTTTCTGTTTGCAAAATTGACATTGTTCCAGAAAAATTGGAGGTGAAAGTGGGTATTTCAGCTTTGCAAAATCATTGCTTCCCATTTGATTGCATATCTCCATGGAATACATATCCTCTTTCTGAAAAGAAAGGTTGCTCTACTCAAACACTGCCATTCTAAACACTACCCAAAATAGCATTCAAGAATAAATAAAACATTTCCTCAAAATATCTAGCATGAACTACTCTGGCAAGACTTCCTTCCTTAGAAGCTATCTCCTCCTTTTCTGGATCAAGAGTATGTATTTATTGGTAATACTTACATTATTTCCTACCTTATGCTTTTCACTCTGCAGGCCACCACTAAGGTATTGTTAGCAGTCATTTAATTATATTTCTAATTAGCCAGCAGATGGCACTACAAAACAGAGGCAGGTTAATTGTTTGCAGCGGGGAGTATGTCACGCTGGGGAAAAGTATAAGGTGGAGAAGAAAAGTTAAAACTCACTTTTTTGAGATGGACAGGCCAAACCTTAAAACCAAGAATACTAGTTAGTAAGGGTAACCACAGACATTGCTGTAGTTAATTAAAAGAGGGGCTGAGTTCATCCCTGGGTCACAGCAGGATTTCCCTCCCCAGGACAGCAGGCCCTGTAGTCCTATAGTCTTGGGATGAATCATTCCAAGTGGAGTCTGCCAAGACAGGGCAGCTTTGCTTTGCTTGTGGCCGGGTAGACCTTGTGGAAAGGTGAACCAAGTTCAGGGTGTTCCCTGGAAATAAAATCCATGCTGACTGATGATCTTGGGCTTTCAGAATATCTGCTCACTGCTTAGGCATAACCAGTAAATCTGTACCCTGATCTAAATTCTTTGGGGTATTTATCAATAATGTAGAATGAAATAAGATTTTCTCATTTTTATCTCTCTAGTTATCTGTCATTCCATTCATATGGCTTTGGCTGTTCTTTTATGTTGCATAGGATATTCCTTGCAAAGCTGTAGTAATTGCCCCCTTACACAATTCCTGTATAAAACACATGAGTTTCGCTGGTTTGTTGCTTAATCGTGTAAATAAAATAGGAACAGATAAAAGAGCATAGGGGCAACATCTATCCTCAGCCACTATTATATTTATGAAATGTGTGTTAGCCTTCACTATTTTAGTTTAAATACTCATGATAATCTCATTCCATGAGGAATTTCTAATGACGTTAGTTAGTGCTAGTGGTAGATTACAAATTTATAAGAATCTGAAAAAGGCATTTTAAAAGCATTTTAAAAGCATTTCACACACTTTTTATGTAATATGCCATGAAAAGCTGCATGCCCATGGAGCTTCCACTACTAACTTCACATAAAGCTGAGCAATCTTTTTAAAAGCAAATAAATACGTCATAGCATCACCTAAAGGGCATAGGCCAAAGCCAATATGATATCTCAATGTAGCCGTTTGTCTCCGTTCTGCGCCTGACTCTGTGCAACAAGATGTCAAAGAGATTAACATAAGTTTATTTGCTTTTTCCCCTCTTGCTGACTCTGTCCCTCTTCCAGCAAATGTACCTTGCAGAAACACTGAGCTCACTTGAAAATCATATGGGGAATCCGCCATGCCTGAGTCATTGTGGTATTAGCTGTTAAACATGAATTTCTTAGTTCATCAACACGTTTGCCCCATTACCCAGCCTCTGTCATGGCCCTGATGATTAAGATGCAAATGTATATTTTTCCATTTAATTACACTAGATATATGTCCTAGATCAGGCAAGCTTATGTTAGATTCAAAAATTCATTTGAAGACTCAAGTTCAGTCTCAATAAGCTTATTTTTTTATCAAATTGAAAAATGGGAAGTGCTGTGAGTCATATTTCTTCCTCAGGCATTAACTGTTACCTTTTTTAAAAGTAAGATGTAAGATTTCTTTTCCCTGTTAGATGAAAGCAGTATTTTTAAGAACAGCTGCAGTATTTCAATAATTCCTTCCATTCTTCTTCCATCCACAGAATTTCCAATGTGCTGCTCTGCAATGTGACAGATCGGGTGTCATTTTGGTTTGTGGTCACAGATTCTACCAAAAATGTGACAACTGTTCCTGGAAGTGAGGTAGAGGCAGCCATCAGGTACAGTCCCTGCTTCTGCAGCCTTTCCTTCCTTGCTGACTGAGGATGGGGCACTTGGGATTGTAACTTTGGAAGGAGTCTCTCTTAATGGTGCAGCCTCAAATAAAATCTAATCTCTATTGTGTGGCATATACACTGCTCTCATCCAGATGCTACATGTCTCAGTGACAGATCCTTTTTCCTCAGGTGACTGAATTTCACCATTTTTCCATGGGATGGGTCTAATTTAACTTAAATTACATCCGTAGGCACATCTCCACCAGGACTAATGACCGTAGGCTGCCTTTAAGGAGTCTGATGGAAAGGTATAGGTGCTTCTGAGGTACAGTTCATCTGACTTACTTTAGAAGTCAACTTTCAGATGAGGAAAACTCAATTAGAGTTGATTATGTCCCAACCTGGCATAAATAATCTTATTCTTTTCATGCCAGCTCTTTTTAGAATGCGGTCACTGTAGTAGCTGAGCGTTACTTTTTCAATGTACCATGTGGTACAAACTGGTATGCTTTCCACTAAATATCACATTCTGTAGCTAATAAAAACAAAAAGCGGGAACTAAAGGGGAGAAAAGAAAAATATGTGATCTGACTTCAGTGGCCTGCCAGGCCTGCATAAGGGATTTAAAGGGATGACTCCCACAGGCCACATAACTCCTGTACGTTTCTCAAGCACTAACTGGAAAAAAGACCTCTTTGTTTTTAGACAACAATTCTATACTTTTGTCGTGAAAATTTCTGTTATCTTTATAGAGGTGTAATGCCTAATTCCTGATGAATGAGTATGTGTTCTTTTGGAAAGATTAACTTTTAAGCTTATGAGCAGATTAAACTATTTCCTACAGAGACACCAAACAATAGCTTCATAGCATTAGTGGGGGAAGCAGATTATTTATTCACTGAAGCTCTCTAAGAGTGCTGGAGTGCAGGACTTTTTTTTGTGTTTCTGTTTTCTTTGATACGTTCAGTAGCATAAGCAGATTTATTTAAGTCTTTTATATGCCCTGTTTACCACAGAAACTGGGTGCTATTAGAGCATGTTTGTTTTGCTTTTTAACTGTTGTCTTTCTCCAAAAAAAGAGAATATGCAATTTATTAAAAGTTCAAATTCCTGCCTAACTTAGAAACAAGAAATAAAATGTTCTGTAAAACTACAATACTTTTTACTCAATTGCTTCTGATTTCAGTCTTCCATATTAAACCATTATTCTATCTCATTATCCTACAGCAGCATGTAAGCTACTCATGGACCAGCATTTTAATGTGTGAGGTTCTCTACAAAGTGAGAACAAAAAAGAGGGCAAACTTTCTCAATTCCCTTCATGAGTCCCAGGGTCTTGCATAAATATACACAAGATGCATTTGTGCATATGCAAACACAAAATGCACCTGTAGCTATCTGCACGTGCTTCAGCACATAATTCTGTAACTCCAGCCATTAGATGAGGGTGAACAATGCTTATTTTTTTCAACTGCTTACAACAATCCATTTGTACCAGTAAGAATGAAAATCACTTTAAATCAAGGAAGTCTTACTATATAATGAGTCTTTTAACATGCCATGGCTTTCAGTCCTCATCAGGAATGCTAGCTTTCCATTAAGACTAAAAACTTCCTGTTTAAGGGATATATCTATATCTCCCGTATATCTATTCCTAGGAAATACTTGCTATATGGTAAGTAGATTGACCTGTACACAAGAAAGCTGCTGTAGCTCATATAATTGCCATCAAAAATAATCTCTCAAATGTATGTAATTCATTTTCTCAAAAATTTCTAACAGTTTGCAAAAGTTAATGGAGGTTACAACTACAGCTTTTCATGGCTACTTAGATTCAGATCCAGAAATAACAGAAAATGCTCGGAAGTAATAAATGTGGGGGAAGTTATCCACTGAAGGAGAGAGCATTGGTAACAGTTGTACTGTTCGTATTAAAAAGAATACTTCTCAGGCTTACAGTTTCTCATAATGGAAAAAATGTGCAAAGCACAAATCCCTTTAGCTGAAATCTGCAGGGAAGAAAGGCATGTTGGCAGTGGGGGTGGATTCTTCTGGAACAAACCGTAAGCTGTGGCTCCCAAATCTAAGCGAATCTACAGCAGCAGGAGCAGATGCACAGGCACATAACAGGCAGGACAGCTCAGTTTGAGGAACCGAGGGGCAAAGATGGGCAAACCCCCTGATCAGTGCAAGATTATCTACCACTCCTATGCCATTATGGACGCTGCATGAGCTAAGTAACACAGCCACCCTCAGAGATGACAACCTGTTATGTCTTCAGCACATGGTCCAAAACACAAACAATTAATAACACTGTATTCAGGTCTCATCTGTACTTCCCAAGTTTTCAGATGAAATGAAACAGAAATATGAAATCCTGCTGCCCAAAACCTTGCAAATGGGTGGGTGTGCATGGAGGGGCTATGCGAAAGCGGAGGTCCTTGTTATCCTACCATCATCACGCAGGATCAAGTTCAGCCTTGCCACACTTGCAGCACTTACACGAAAATTCATTTTTTCCTTCTGTCCTTTTTTAGTTATGCATACTTTTTCCTTCTGTCCTTTTTTAGTTATGAAGATTATAAAGATAATATTATAAAGAGCTGTGATGTGCTTTGTGTTTTCATGAAGGATGAACCGGAACAGAATCAACAGTGCCTTTCTACTGAATGACAAAACGCTGCAGTTCCTGAAGATTTCATCAACCTTATCACCACCTGTTGAACCCTCCATACCTGTCTGGCTTATCGTATTTGGTGTTGTTCTTTGTGTTACTGTGGCTGGAATTGTTTTCCTCCTTGTTTCAGGGATTCAGCGGCGCAAGAAGTAAGCAGCTTAGCTTTTCTTCTGTTTAACTGAGCACCAGGAAATTAAGTGAGCTAGGGTGGTTTTGCTTTTCAGATCAGCCTCAGAGAAACAAAATTTTGAACTGTGAAGTAGTTGCCTTAGTAATGCTGGGGAATAGTGAGGAAACTGGTAGGGTAAGAATATGATCTTGGAGATCACCTAAATAGAAATTGTAGCTTTACAAAGAGATTTACTGCTAGTCTTCTCAAGGTTTAGTGAACTGTAGGTGAGCCTCTTCTCGCAAACTAGCCACATGGTTTCCATAGGGGGGAAGGATGGCAATGATTGCCCCATCCAGGGCAGTCGTGTCAAAAGCTGGCAGATCTAAAAAAAATTTGCCGCTGCCAATTGAGGAGCTTAAGTAGAAGACACAATAAAGATTAACGTATAGCTGAAGAAGTCCTGCTCACTGAAATGGTGCACAGCTTCACCTACCATTCATGACCTGATGAATCCAACGTACCTAGCCCTTCACAAGTCCAGGTCCAGATCTCTCCATGAGCCTCAGTGTTTGCAGTTTGGCAGCAGGGTCAGCAAGAGATACTCACTTTTCCTCTCACTTTCTGCCCTGTGACAACACTGATAAAAAAGAGAAGGCTACTCATGGTTGCCTAGTGTGACTGATTTGGAGTGGGCAGGGGAGTAAGTGGGGTTTTGGTCCCACCATCTCTGTTGGCTCAAAGTTGGGCAAAAGGAATAGAAATTTCTCAACTGAGTTGAGCTTCTTCCGTGGAAGTGAGAAGTAGCTGAGCTTCTGCCACAATTTAGGATGTCATAGAGTTTAAGTTAGCACAGAATTATAACTTCTGCAACAGAATCATACAGGAACAGGAGATGAACTGAAAAAGGGTAAATTTCTGCTGTCAGCTAGGTGATGTAATATTGAGTGTATGGTGAACTGTGTCACCAAATATATCAGTGCAATGGATTCGTCTGTGAAAAGCAATATGTTACAGAGATTTTTCAATTCTACCTCCTTATCACCTTGAAAGAGAAAGATAAAATACCTCAGAAAAACAGCATTTATTGCAAGGGAGAAGTAGTTCTTATTGAGAGAAGGGTAGTCTGAATCCCTTCAGTGATATTTTGGATTCAGAAGAGTTGTGTGATTCTGGGAAAGCCGTTTCAGTGTTTAAATAACAAAACTCAACATGCAATAGATAAGGGATGCTGTTGTGGGGAACAAGGCTAGACCGGTACTTGAGATCTGCATATAGTTTAAGTCCTGCCACAACCTTCCATGCGGTATGGGCTGAGTCATTTAATCCCCTGAACTTAGGCAACCTCTTTTGTAAAACTAGAGGATAATGTTGCTTCCAGAAGCCCTGTACTTGCCCTCTGTGTGTCTGTATAGTGTCAAGGTCCTGTGTGCCTGTATAGCACGTAGCTCTAAAGGGTCTTTGAACATTTCATGTGAGTGTAATATAAATAAATTGTACTAAATAGTCATGATTTTCAGGCTAAAATAATCCTTTGTGCTTTGTATCAGGCCGAAAAGACAGCCTCTTTTCCAAAATTAACTCAGCTGAACCTGAACAGTTCCCATCAATATGGTATAAATTGTATGCTCTTATCTGCAGAATACCAGTAACACGCTCCCGCTGCTGCACACCCATGGTCACCGGGCATTTTTCATCCTCCCTGTTTTGTGCTGTTGTTGTCCTTTTGCTTCTATTATGCTCCTTTTCTCCTTTTCCTCTGATTTCTTACTCTCCCTTTATCTACTGTCTTTCCTCAGAATAGGTTCATCTGTGACAGAATTCAAATCCTCCTTTCAAGTCAGTGGCATGGTGGGGGGAGAGAGAAGGCAAAATAAATGTATAATTGTTCCGTCTAGTGTTGCAAAGACTGGAGAGGTAAAAGATATGGTCTGGATATGGCTGCTCAAAAGAAGAGCTAGACATGCGGGAACAAAATTTCAAAAGTGCTCATCCCTTCTTCAGGGACATGACCAGGTTATCAAAAGAGTTCAGCACGTTCATTAATGAGTTTTCCTGAAAACCTGATCAGAGCTGACTTAGCAGCAGCTCTGTTGCCTGGTAAGCTGTGTTGGAAATCCAGACCCAAGGACAGTGTTGACTACTCATAAATCTGGTGTTTTGTCTTTACTGTCCTTTAAAATAGCAGTTAAATACCTTGATTCAGATAAGTACAAAAGCATGTGCTGCAGCCCATTTGTGCTCAGGGTAGCAGGGAAGCACATGACTGGCCTATAATTGAGTTTCACTAATGAATTAGGCTCGAGTGTCATTTCTTGAACTGGAAAATTGCCTTAATTAGGTCTTTGCTGTGCCTACGTGTAAAAATCCAAGCCACAACTGCCTGCAGCTTGAAGTCCTATTAAAAGGTCTGATCCAGCTCCATGTAATTGTAGCCATTGACTTTTCAGGAAGCTGGATCAGACACACTGTCTCCCAACTCTGTGTATTTGTTCCCCTGTCGTCACAGCAGTATGACACCTCTCTCCCGGCTAATAGACTTGGCACATAGCCAGGGCAGGGCCATCCTCTCTACTGGCTACACTGGGTGAGGCCCACTGTCCCTATCCCCAAAATCCTGTCTGCAGCAGAGGCTATCAACATCTGCCTTGGGAAGAGCTAGATTTGGTCTTTATTTATGAAGTAACCTGGCATAGATTTCTCTTCCATTAAATTGTTGAGTCTCCCCTTGGACTCAAAAATTTTTAGATTCTCTGAATTGCCATGGCAGACAAATTCAGCACATCTACTACTCCTCTTACTGGTTTTAAATCTGTTCCCTACTATCTTGTTTTATATAATGCCTCCACACTAAGGTTTGTATTAAAGAACTCTACTTTTACCACTGTAAGAGCAGATATGACAGCCAGGGGTCTGAGGTTTTCATTACCACCCCCACATTTATTTTTAGCAAGTCTGTAATGACGAGAATCTCCCAAAGGCCAATAAAATTTTATTATTGTTAACATCACTGTTATTAGCAATCATACTGAGTCAGATTGTTATGATTGTCCTGAGTCAGATTGTTACAGTCTGTGTTGCAGGATAGGAAGGAGCAGTGGAGCTGACCTTTGAATTTCTTATCCTCCAAAGCTGCTGATGCTGCAGGCTGTAAAGTACAGCAGGTTTTTCAGCTATGAACTAGGAGATCTCAAGGTCAGAATAAATCTGGAATTAAAGGAACATTGTGACATGTTGACTGACATTTCTACATTACATCTGCTCATGGGCTTTTTTTTTGGATCATTTTATTCAGCAGCTCTTTTAATATGGTTGTGGTGAGAATAGGAGCCTGGACAAGTGAAAGCCATGCAATTACTCAATCTAAAGCATGACAGTATAGTAAGATATGGGGGTAGGAAGGTGGCTGTTAATGAAGTTTGAATTAGAAATTCAGATTTGTAGCAATAAGACTCCCTGACCTCTGGAGAAGATTATCAAGGAATATGGGACACTCAGTCTCCATCACTGGAGATTTTAGTCAAAAACTGTTCTATTTCTAAAAAGTATATTTTAATTTATCCACATCATTGAGTGAAATCTATGAAACATATAATAGGGCCAGGCTAGATGAATAGTGCAGTCCTTCTTGATTTAAAGGAAGAACACATTCGGAGATTTTTTCCATTTTTCTCTTGCAGCAGCTTTTATCTCCCCCTCAAATTATTTTACAGAACAAGAAGCTGAAGGAATATTTGCAATATATTTACAACGTATTTACTCTAGATTTTCTGATTCCCAATCCTGATTTCAAACCACTAAACTAGGGCTTCCGATCTGTGGTCCTCCCACTTCCAGTGATATGTTTACAACAGCAAAGAGGCTTTTACACTCTGCCTATGCAGATGTACGCCTGCTCTTGCACATATAGGTCATTGTGAGCTAGTGCAGCTAAAGTCAGTCTAAAAGCAAATTATGCTGGGGAGTCTCTGCACCAGATTATGCCTTTCAGTACATAACCTACTATAAAATTTTTACTAAACTTGCTGTTTTCTTTATGTGGACTTTTAGTAGAGTGCTGCAGGTTATTAAAATGATTTTCTCTTCTTTGTTTTTAGAAAGAATAAAGAGTCATCAGAGACAGAAAATTTAGAAGAAAAATGCGAAGTGACAGTAACAATAGAAAATGGGATTCCTTGCGAAACACTGGATTTAAAAGCAGGCCACATTAATGGAGTCTGTGCAGCAGATGATGAACGGTTCACGTCCTTATGAAATGCTGTCATTCCTAGCTGGTGTATTTTTGAAAGACTCCTACACCTACTTTATCTCATCACTACTCCTGAATGTCAAACATGAAGACAAGAAAAAATGTCCTTTCACTTAATTTCCCTTGAGAGAAGCTTGTGCTGATAACACATACACTCGAACCTCCATTACAAGGCTTTTGTTCATGAGCAAAGCAAATGAGAAGACTTCAAATGATATCCATTAAAGATTTCCAAAAGATGTGTGGTAGAACAGGGTGGAAACCTGCCTTGTGTCAGGCATTTAATTTGTAATGATTATTTAAATATGCCTATTGTTTTTTTCCGTGCTAAAAATGTGAAACTGCATTATTCCTGAATGTTACAGAAGAGCTCATCTATCATTGTCAGTTCTTACTGGGCTTTCTTTTAAGCCATATGCAAAAATTTCTCTGTAAACTGGTTTCTGTGTGGTGATAGACCATATGCCTTTGGCTGGAATAGAGGTCAGTGCATGAAAGTTTTAACTTACGAGGAAAAATGTCAAACTTTCTAGCCTCTGTAAGAGCAGATTAAAAAGTATCTGGCTCATCTACAGTTTTTGAACTGCCTAAGATCTGGTACTAAATGTATTTCTCACTTAGCAGTCAAAGTCACAGATTACATGATCAGGAAATTAGAATTTGCAAAAGTTTGAAAAAGGTGTAAGACACAAAGGGTTGATTTTCCAAAGACGCAGTCTGTGGCTGGTGGCCCAATTCTTATTAAATCTATAAGGCCACTTTGCAGCTCCTTGAAAAATCTTCCTTACGTTCATTAATACTAAAACTAGAAGAGATTCCCAAGGGACAGGGCACACCTAGGGTCCGCTGAACTTTTCACGTGACAGCTGGATAGTTTTCCAAAAGCTTTGGCACTTGAAGTGGCGCCACTGGTCTTCATGCATCCTGCTTGAATGGAAGCATAAAGGCCGTGGTGAGCAGGCAGAGAGGATTCAGACTTCTATTTATGTGGCTGGAAGCTGAGGGCACCAAATCACACCCAGCCCTAAGTTACATTGTTGGATTTACTCTGTTAGAAGTCAGCCATAGCTATAGTCTGTGCTACCCATGTCGTAATCCTGTTGCCATTTAAATCTGTCTTGAAATTCTTACTGATTTCAGAAAAAAAGGACTAGGCCCAAGTAAAGAAGACTCGTATGTATGGCTAATTGCGCGTGAAGAAAGTCAACGTGCTGAAGAAAAATATGGTCTCTGCCGTCACCAAAGAGCTGCCCACATCACTTGGGTAGGATTTAACCACTAGCCATACTGTTTTCAGTCTCATGTTTGGAGGCAAATCAGAAGACCCATTTACTTATAGGCATTTTTCCATGCATTCATACTCTTCACCCACAATAGAAAGAGGGTAAAGGCTCTTTGCAAAGGACCCTCTAATGTCCCGAAGGGTACAAAGACTTCTTGTGTCCCAGGGTACAAACCCTTCAGCGTTTTGGCTGTATCAAGCCTCTTCTTTGATTGTTCTTTTGACGCAGCTCTGGCTCTGGGGAATGGGGTGACCAGAGTGGTGGAAGGAATGGGGAAAAGAAGGGGGAGACAACAGGGTGCAGAGAGGAAACTGAGCAGGTGAAACTCTAAGGTAGGTGAGGGAAGGGGAGAGGAGGGCTAAATATAAAATAAAACTTTGCAACTCACAAAACATTTGACTCACTTGGTCTCATCTTTCACTGTTGTCTTTCATGTCCTAATGATGAGTTCCTGTAGACAAGGACTGTGTCTTATCTGGGCCCTATATGATGTGCTGCTCAGTTCTGGCCAAGGATTAATAAAGGTCCGTTATTGGTGATAATATCTCTGTGCTTCAGATTACCATCAACGCTATGGAGATATATTTTTCACAGGAATGTCAAAGGTTAAGCTTGCCGGTGTTTAAGTTCATTTGGAGGGAAGATATAGCTAACAGTATAATTATTGCATCCCCAGTCATTGGTGAAAGGTCTTTCACTCAGGCAGAATTTTATTTAGGCAAGTCAGGTCACATCAGTTTTTTAAACCTTCACACTTTGCGTATTCTTTGTATGACAGAGAGCTACATTGCCATATGACCACAGTGGATTGCTAGAACTGCAACACCTCTGCAAGAACCAATGAAAGATATCTCTGAGAATAGCTTAGCAGTGGAAGAGCAACCTCGAGCTACCAATTAAAAGTTACAGTTATTCTGTATTGCACTGTGTGAGACTGAAATAAAATTCACTTGATATGAAAAGAAGCCAAGCACATCTGAACGCACTTCTCAAGGCCTCAGTGAAAGTTCAGTTCAGCCCATAGCACTGGCCAGCCGTTTGAAAATAGATTGATAGCCTCTGAACAAAACGCTGGTATGAAGTGAGCTGACTCTGGTGGTAAGTATTTAATCACTGACTTCCTCCTAGCTCACCTCTTAGCAGTGTAATTACTTTACAGCAGCTTGGCATAATAATCTACTAATGATGATGTGGGATTCACCCACAGCTTACGTCTTGCTTACCTCTGTGCTGACAGAAAATGGCTTGAGAGATGTAAATGGTATGTGAACAGACAAGTACCATACTTAGCATCACTTAGAAATTAGTGCTGGTATTAGTTTTTTAACTGAAATAGGCACTGCAAATGAGGTTATTCAAGGGCACGCTGCAACAGCAGAAATGAATCTCTTTTCTAGCCTCTTTGTGCAGCAGAAGCGTATTAGAAAACAAAGAGCACTTTGATTTTGTAAAGCCCGTCCTCAGGAGCCTGCAAATGGTACAGTAACAGTTTATATCCATTGGGGATCTGGCCCAGATATTTTATGTAACTTTCACCATTTACTTTTTTTACCCTAAACAACCTGCCATGGAAAGACATGAAAATAAAAAGGCAAGTAAGTAAGAAATAGTATAGAATATACTGTAAACAACTTCTTAAAGACAATAGTTCTGCTTTCAGATACATTTCTGCTCTGCCAACAGATTTCAGCAGAGGAACATGGTGTGCCCAAGACAGAACAGTTTTATTTTCAAGAGAAAAGAAAGAGAGGAAAAAAGAAAATTTAATTAAGTGAAGCAATAAAGCCAGAGAAGTTCTGTTTGAAGAAAATTTGCAACATTTATCTCCAGCTCCACATCCCCAGTGAGTCAACATTTCAGAAAGGACATTGCAATTCTGTTCAGCTTACTTGAGGGAGAATATTGATGTCTAGGTTAGCATAAGCACAAATCATGCATTAGTAAATTGTTTACTTTGCCACTCATTACCTACACATTTGGAGTGCTGGAGAACATCAGGAACTCTAAAATGCTGTCCTTAAATTAGGGAGTGAGTTGGCTGGGCAGAACTTGGAGCACTGCGTTGGTCACAGGCTGTTTTTGTAAATGAAACTAGAAGTCTTTATTTATTTATTTATTTATTTAGGGAAAGTGGTAAACCATAGGCAGATGCTGAAGTTCCTACTCAAGTGATTCTGCCACTTACTTTAAGGAAACCTAACAGTTCTGTCCCACAGCTGTTGCTGACTGTGTTGGAGTAAACCAGATTGAAGCTAGCCTGGTCTGTCATACAGACATTTGCTTTTTCCCATGCAAGACAGCGTATAAACTCTTGAGAGGGGGCACCTGTGTGTGGTACTCTCCTCTATATATGCCCACATTAGCCCACCTCTTCCTTGAAGTCTAATACCCTGAACTGGATCCAGTATGCCTCCCTGAGGCTCTGCCAATGCTAAAGAGCCTGAAGGGGTTACCTCAAGGGCCTCTTACAGGCTATAGCTCCTGTTTTTATGTCCAGGTATGGCATTTGCGTCTGACGTGCTGACCTTCAAAGCAAACACTTTCCTGGATACGCCTTCATGAAGAGCCTTATCTGCTCTATATTTTGAGGTATGACATAATTGCAAACCAGTTCAGCATTTCTGCTGTTGACAAAAGAAAAGGGTGAAGGGGACACAAGGAGCCTCAGGCAGGATTCAGATCTTGTCCCTTCATCACTATTGGAATAAAATAATTCCCAGATGAACAGAGATCACTGCGTTAGCACAAGAGCTTCTGGATTGATAATTGGTTCCAAGAGCTGTGCGTCAATTTCAGATAAGTAAGGAGCATGATCACACTGTGACAGAAAGAGTTTTTCAGGTGTAACCTCCCACACGTGGGAAAAGAAAAGAAAATACTCTCCTTTAAAGCTCTGGGCAGAATTGCAACAAAGATGTAAAATAACATCCAGTGAAAGTGTATTTCTACATATTCTTAAAAATATGGCCCAGATGCCCTCAGACATTTGGTTAGTTCATCAATGCAGTAACCTGTGACTCATGAAATGAGCTGTTTTAAATGTGCCAAGTTTATGTAGAAAATGCATTAACCAACTGTCCGCAATCCATTAGCAATGAGCAATCTGTGCTCAGATTTCTATGGGTGGTTCTCTTTTGGCCTCTCGTGGTTTTTGTTTCCTCTTAATGTGGCATGTAAGAAGACATGTGTGCAGTAGAGTGACACCACAGCTTCCTAAGCTAACAGATAATCATTAATGAGAAACTTGCACTGTTAGATATGCCTATATTGAATGATTGAACTTGGTAATTTTCAAATCACATAAAGCTGAAGTACATTGACAGTGACGAGTGATATACGCTTGCCAGCACAATTGTGCCAGTACATTCAGCTTTGTGAATATATTAAGAATGACGGCTGCATATACCATAGTACATTTGAATTTATAATTGGGTGTTATATGACTGAACTGATGTTTGCATTTCTGTCCAAGATGGAATAGTCCAGAGAAATTCCAGCCTAGCACTAAGGGTTAAACTTTGTTCTCATTAAAGTCAGCAGCTTCAACAGGAACTGAATTTGACTTGAGATTGTAAAGAAAAGTTCAATTTTGCTGATTTGTCCTCCTCCTTACCATTATGTTTTCCTTCCTCTTAGAGATCTCAACATGAAGCTGTCAAAGCATCTTATTAGCTATAGTAACGGTTAAATGGAAAACATTTCATTTTTGGGAAATGATGTTTTTTTTTTCACCTGGCATTATCTCTCTATCAACTTCTGACACTCTCCTATCATTTAGACTCTAATTGCTACATATTACAGTATGTAGCTTTTATCAGTTGTGGACCAACAGGAATTTTAGACTTTGGACTGGTGTTCTCTGTGATATCGTATCTGAATGACATTGCAGAAGCTGATGTGTGGACATAAGGTCATTGTAAACTGAACTGGGACCACTCACTCCCGCCTTAGTAAAAATGAAATGAGCAACATTATTTGCCTAGGTGAAAAGCTGCATATCTCAGAATCAATACCATTCCCTTCACTGTTGGAGCAAGAGTGGCTTTTTGTAATGGACAAAGTATAAGGAATATAGAATATTATGCTCCTAAATGGTTCCCTCTCCTCCATCTCCCTAACATATGGTCTTGATTTTGACTGTGGCTTTCTGTAATACAAACTATGACACATCATGGCATCCTGAGGTAATCTACCTGTTTGTACACTTCTCACCATCTTGAAAATAATCCAGCTTTAATGCTTTGTCCTAAATCTTGCAAAAACACTTAGGTTTCCTGATGCTTCAGGTAATTGTATCAGCATCTTTTCACAGCTCCTGATGTTCTTTTTGGATGCTGGGCTTACTCGTGCCCCTGGGACACCTGCTTCCTTGGTGATGCTGAGCACCGTTTGCCCCAGTGAACAGCCATCAGCCTCTGCCTTCCTTGCAGCACCAAGGAGCTCTGCAAAAGCTACAGTTCCTCTTTATTTCTGAAATCCAGTGTGCCAAGCAGCCTGTCTTGTTACCAGAAGGTTATAATGGGATACGAGTTCATTGTCTAAGGCGCTAGCCTCAGCCTTGGACCAGCTGGATGCAAGTGGCCAGTGCCTGTGGACCGCCAAGGGACCCAGGGGGCTGTTGGGGCTCCTCGAAGCTCCAGACGCTCCCCCTGGCAGGGCACTGCTGCCCTCCCCCAGCGCTGGGGCTGGGACGCTGCCCACCCACCACCTCCCAGCTCTGCTCCTGCTGGGCAGCCGGGGCTAATCTGACCTGCTGCCCATCTGCTGTGTGTCAGTACTGTGGAGTAAGAGCCAGATAGCCCGAAATACTGAGGCCCAAGCGGAGGCTGGCTGCTGTGAGATGCCCTCAGCACTGGAGCTGGCCCCCCGCCGGCTCAGCGTGGGCAGGACGGGCTGTGCCTGGCTGCAAAGCGGCAGCAGCGTTTCGTCCTCTTCACTCTCCACCACACAGCTCTGCTCTCCGCCTAGAAAAAGCAGTAAAGAGGATCACGCTAAAAGCCTCTTTCGTAAGAGGGCCCTCAGCTTTGAGAAAGAGGGCTGAGGGGAAGCTAGTGAGCCGGGGAATCAGCACGGCCGCTGAGCTCCTGGTCCCAGCCGTGAAGGGAGGGCTTTTGTCTGAGAAAAAGCAGATGCCACATACTCAGAAGAGCTAGTCATGTGGGAAAAAGGCGGCTCTAGGGATTAAAAGGGATATGTGCCCAGCCCCCCAGTTTGAAGCATGAGGAGGAGGGAGAGAAGCTGGTGTTGCCCCATAGCAATGCCTCCGTGCAGTCGAGGGAGCGCAGCCCTTCTTCAAGCGTTACCGCTCTGTCGGGGCAATGTCTGGAGGGGCTGAAGTAACCGCTTGCTTTGCCCACTGCCTCCACACAGCCACTTAACAGGGAGCCGGGATTTGCCAGATATTAAACCGATGTGAACAGATCTTTGGCAGAGAAGCTAGGGCAGACGCAGCCCTCTGCAGGCCACGAGAGGCAGTCAGGCTGCAGCCGTGTCCTGCCCTGCAGACGCCCCATGCCATGCAGCACTGGGGCGCTGCCGTGGTGGGGAGCTACAGCCCTGTAGAGCCCCCCTCCGTAGTTCTGTTGCTGAATAACGCTTACATCTGTGTTTTATGCGCTAGGCAAAAAGGCAGAATGGCATAATATAACAGAGAGCTTAAGCAGTGCCCCAGCCTGGAAAATGGCCTGATAACAGTATTTTAAGCTACGTGTCTATGGTGTGGTGTCCAATACACAGCATACTGACTTCTTAATGAGGCATGCCCCAAAGGCAACTCTCTGTTATTGCAGACCTAGTTTCATAGCACAGCTCAGCCAGTAAAACAAGTGATGGGATAGATATTGCTCTCAGAGCCAGCAGACAGCTGGACACTGGTGGGCAACTGCATAAGCAGATGTCAGACAGCTCAGACCATGAGGACTACTGGATTGGGGACATCAGGTAGGAGCTGGGAGCTGTCACTTACACTGCAAATTTGGGAGGTGGAGGGGACAACTTGCAAACTGAGGAGAAAGCCTGTGCTTTCATGTCAGGTTACACTCACCCTTTGCACTGTAACTGGTAAACTATCCTCATTGCCTTTGCTCTGAGCCGAGCAGACTGGCTGCAGTTGCATATAACGGCATACTATAAATGAGACCATATTTTATCTCCGGGTTGCTCTTCTTCTTTCACCCAAACCCAATGGCTGCTGTCTCCACTGCCTTTGCTGGAGCTTTGGATTTCCTGAAGAGGTTCAAGGTACTTCCCTTTTTCAGTTGTTTGCCGTTGCCTTTTTGCTGCAGCATAAACTGTCTCGATGCTCTCAGCCAGCTTTCCACACCATGCTGAAGGTCTGTTCCAAAAAAACGTCCCACTTTATCCTAGAATAGACAATGTCGTCTCTCTCGTAGACCTGCTGTTACTGTCCCAGGCTACACAAACTGCTCCTAAGGGTGTCTCCCTAACCAGCCTTGAGCCCTACAGTTCTATCAATTCTACACTTTTTTGTTTATTGCCCAGCTCAAATTTTTGTACAGCACTGTTAAAAAGAAAATAAAGTGAAACAATGACCGACAGAGTGCAGAAGTAGGTGACAAACTGCAGGACTGAGTGGAGAAGGGTATGCAAGGGCTTTGAAGCACTACACCCATGGCAGCCCCATGCACCAACGCTGTCCAGTTATGGACGGGCAGGGGAGAAAACCTGCCATGGTAGTGAGAGCTGCCACAGACAAATCTGCGTCCAGTGGTCTCCTGTGCATCTGCTTCATGGGAGCAAATTCGTCTGCCAAAGTGTGATGTGCATTGAGCACAGTGGATGGCCCCACTGTTATAACAGTTGTTTCCTGAAACATAAGTCTGTGCTAAGTCATCCCGCAATTTAACATTTTTTTTCTCGTGGTAACGCAACAGCAAATAAGATGCAGTGAAATTCCTGGATTACTCCTCATATATGATGTCAGTTACTTCATTTAGATATGTAATAACAAAGAACTGAAAAACAATGCAGAAAATTAGTGGCACAATTCAGTTTGACTCTCCCTACTACATTTTCAGCTCACCACAACTCATGCACACATACTTGCAAGCAGGAGCAGAAGCAATTCCTCTATGAAATGAGTTGATGCGCTTCTCTTCCCCGCCGAGGTGTTCCCCAAATATCCCACTGCTTGGGAATCCCTTTGCCATATAGACACTGTGTGGGGTTTCAGGGCTGTGCACAGCCTGAAGGCAGCTGCAGGCCAGAGTGAGGAGCTAATTGTGGGGCGATTCTTGCCCCATGGCAGGGGAGGTGAGGGCTAAAAGGGCTGCCCTTGAGGAAGGCGCCAGGGCACTATAAAAGGGAAAAAATAGTAATCTTCATGTTAAAGCTAGCCTCATTTCAGTACCCTGAAAGGTACTGGACCCACTGATTATGCCATCGACTTATCAGTGGAGGCAAGAAAATAAGAGTTAAAGCAGTATCTGTTCTCTGCTGGAGAAGAAGAAATCATATCAAGGTAATAGACCTAATTTTCCTGCTGGTAATTTTCAACATTTCACCGTATAACAGTCTCATAAGCAAATTAAAGAAAGATGAGCTAGACAAGAATCACAAAAGGCATATAATTACAGGATCCATGGCTCTCAATCAAGGATAGGAGCCATTTTAAGTGGTAGCTCTCCTGGGCCCTATTGTATGCCATATGATCTGGCTGTTGGAACAGGAAATCTCTTAAAAGGTTTGTGGGCATTGCCAAGCTGGGAGGACTTAGAAATCCTTTGAAGGACAAGATTACAATTCCAAATGATTTTAAGAAACTGGAGAAATGGTCTGAAATCAGTGCAATGGACTTCAGCCCAGACAAATTCAAAATGCTCTCATTTGTGCTAGTCTAGAATCAAACATACAAAGATAAAATGGGAAATGTCTGAACAGATAGCAATGCTCTAGGTAGCAGTGCTACCAGAAAGGACTGCAGTGCTTCACAACTTGAGTATGACTTAATATTGCGTCTTGTTGCAAGAAAATAGATGTGTATTAGCAAGGTATTGCACATAAGATGCAGACAGTGATTGCTCTACTTATCACTGGTAAGTTCTCAGTTATGTTCAGTTTTGGACACCATCTTGAGGTGTCCATCTTGAAACACAAATGAGGGAGCATCTGGACGGCACCAACAAGAGTAACAGGAGTCTGAGAAAACATGACCTCTGGGGAAGAGTTGAGTGAATTTCGTCTGCTTTCCTTTGAAAAAAAGAAGACTGTTAGAGGATTCGTACAAGGATGACAGAATATCAGAAGATATCAACTTACTTCATACCAAAGAAAACTAGGAAAGAAGCCTAGTTCTTAGGAAAAACTTTGGAATGAACCCAAGAGAGGCTCTGAATTCCCTTTTGCCTCAGGTTTGCAAGAGTGGGTTAAACTAATATCCTGGAAGAAGAGATCAGTATTAATCAATGGTGCTTCCCAGCAAGTGCCTGGGCAAGGTGCTTTCTCGAGGTCCCTTTTCTGGCTCTGCCTACTGGAGCTGTCTGCAGCTGTTGGCCCCGCTAAGGCTGCACCGTGCTCAGCCCTTCACCTGCAGCAAGGCTGGAGCTCCTTTCTCAGTGTTTGCCAGTGAAGGGGCTCATCTTGCAGCTGCGCCTGTGTAGACAGACTCGGAACGATTTCAGCGAAGCTCTGCTGGGAACTGAAAGCCAATGCCAGGAACATGGCTGCAGAATCACGTCTCAAAAACCAAACGCACAAACAAACAAAAGCAAAAAAACAATCCAAGTGATCTCAAGTAGAAATAGGCTAATTCAAAAAGTACTAAGGCATTGTCTGATCGATAACACTCAACCTAAAGCGAGGGAGGAACCCAAGCTGTAATTCCAGAACTAATTCATGCATTGATTTTCCTATTGATTTGCAATAAGTACCAGGCTTCTAGCTAGGTTAGCAGAGGTATTTGGATATTAAACTGGAATCATCTAAGTAGTTTCAGTACATAAATCAAATCGATTTATACTTAAAGTTAGTTTCCTACACAAGATGCTGTAATCTCAGGAAGTCTCTTTCCGCTTTTTGATAGTTCCCTGAACACTTTTAAAAATCTGATCTTACATGCTCCAGTCATTTTGAAAATCAGGTAGGTACTTCAGGACATTCAGGCTTTGCAAGGCCTTTTAAAACCTCGGCCTAAACACCCAACCAGATACCCTGTGTCAGGGCTACATGGAATTTCTTTCTTCCCAGGAGATAAGGTCATGACTTAGTGTTTCAGTGAAGTTTCTAAATATTTTTACAGCTTATCACCAACCTGTTAAAGGATTCACAGATTCTAAGCTACCAAAGACACTGGCAGGCAATAGATAAAATGACCAGCTGTATCATTGTTGACAGCACATTTGGGAAACATTAACTAAAAGTAAAAGCCTTTTATAAGAGGGCCATAAAATGGTAGGAGTAATTATGTTTTTCCAAAGTTAATCATTGACTTTTGTTTATTTGACTTTTTATAAAAACTTCTTCTTTTCTCTCCTGCAATGAATAAAACCTATAAAAGGCCTGGCAAATTGGATTCAGCCTCTTTTCTTCATACAAGACTTGCGTAAAGGCTGATGAGACAGAACCTGATAAAGAAGAGTACCTGAAGAAATCTACTTTGCTGGAAGGTTCTCAGCCCAGATAAAAATATGTTGGCCCACATCTCGCTTCTCTGTGTTCTGAGCGTTGTCGTGACCCCACAGGATGTCACACAACAAGCCCAAATGTTTCTGACTGAGTTTAATGTAAAAGCAGAAGATATCAGCTATGAAAGCTCCCTTGCCTCATGGAACTACAATACCAACATTACTGAAGAGACAGCCATGAAGATGGTAAGTGCTCAGTCCTGTCTGCTTTACTATTATTTTAGGAATTTGGTGGTTACATTCTAGTTTGTTTTAGTTCCACAAAAGTTGGCTGAAATTCACATCCTACTTCATTAGTAGCTATGGTTTAGCTTCATAAAGGGAGAGGGGCTTAGTTTAGCATAGTGATGCCTAACTCCAGGTGCTTGGGCCTCCTGGAGCCCTACTAAGGCTGGTGCCCGGGTGCCTGGGTGTCATCACATTGCACGAGGACAGCCGGCCATCTGAGGATGGACTTGCCCCAAACCGTCACCCTGAGCCACCTCAGCAAGCGGAAAGAAAGCACGAGAGAGCACTGTGCTTTTGGCCTGTCTCAGGAACCGAAATCTGAGTTGGAGAGAAACACCTATGTCCACTAGGGATCCACTGCCGTGAACTCATCCTGGCATCACGTTTCTAAGGTAGGTACCTTCCCTCTTGGAGACAGCATAGTCCAGAGATGATGGCCTTCTCCCAGAGCTTGGGGTTATGTACTTATCTGTGATGCGAGAAAACTGGATTCAAATCTCACATCCACTTGAGCACAGACCTCTCGTAAGACTGAACTAGCCACTGGGCATTTTTTCATTGGTCCTAACCAGGTTCTTCCATGGACAACTCTTTCTCATTCTCTGTTTCTGAAGTTGTTTTACTGCTTTACTTCTCACTGAATATGCAAACGTTTTTCTGAACATAGGCATTTTTTTAAAATGTTTTCTGATGGTCTTTTAATGGTCCACATCCACTGTACCGTGGTGGAAACCCCTTCCCAGCACTACTTTTGTCACAGTCAGTGCTGTTAGTGGACTACCTGAAGTAATAATATTGAGAAAAGTGAAATGAGATCACAAATTTCTAAAAGTCAGTAGTCTAGTTTGTAGTACAGTAGTCTAGTATACTGGTTTGAAAGTCAATTTATAACTATAGGAAGGGCTGTAGCATTTGTACTTAGAACACCTTGCAACACAGTTCAACCTGCCTTTAAACACCAATATCTACCTATCCCAGTTGACTGGAAGCCCTTTACAAATGAATAAAAAACACAGCAAATTTTGTAGTCGCACGTATTTCAAAGTTAACTAGAGTCTTTTTTTAAAAAACAGAACAATTCAGAGCATAAAAATTGAGCTTAATATCCTACATCTACCTCTGCATAAAGGCATAAGCCACCCACTTTGTGGTCTTATAGCTTAATTAAAACATAGTTTAATTATAGTATTTCTTAATTAAAGCAAGGAGACTGGTTGCTGGAAGATATCCTAATGACTAATCATTGTCAATCTGGAATGCTTTCCAAGGCACCAGGTACTTACACTATAACATTTCCAAACACGTAAAATGAAAGCCCCATACAGCACTTTCAGCATTAATGAGATGATAATAAAAAACATGAGAAAATACCAGCAATAAGAAGCAATTAGTTCAGTACTCAGAAAGGATGCATTCTCTAGCTTGATCTCTTTAGTAGCACTAGTAATGAACCCTTTGCTTCCCCTCCTCCCTTTGTGCTGCAAGACCAGAGCTAACGAATAGTGTCCCTTCTGGCTCCTTCCCATCCATTTTCCTTATAAATTAGGTCACAAAATCCACAACTCCTCCTCCAGCTCCACAACTAGTTCTTCTAACTGGGGGGGAAATCATACAGCTAGTTAGCATCTTTCGCTTGGCTTTTCTAACCAAAGAGCCCCCTCTTCTGCCCCACAGCTCCTAACGCACCTCCTCCTGCTCTGCACAGGATAAATAATTCAAAAACCATATTTGCACAGGGATGCTTGTACTCTGGGTGCATACCAAGTTCTTGCCTACTGACTCTCCTACAGTGCTAAGCAATGGCAGTCCTGCCTGCTCTGTCCCTAGCTGCCCGTGTAGGAGCTGGGACAGAGTCCACAAAGCTGCCGTGGGGGTGACACCTGTGCTTGTGCCCTCCCACAGAGGTGCAGTGTGGGCAGGGAGGCACAGGCTGGTCTGGAGGGGTGGGATGGCAAAGGGCTAGTCTCTGTAGCAGCATCTCTGCTTCAGAGCCTGCAGCAACAGGCGAGTGGTTCATCACACATAGGGCTGCACTTGCAGCTGGAAAACCCTGGCGCAGCTCTGATGAAAGCATTGACCTTGCATCTGCACAAGGGTGCCGTGTACAAAAAGAGAGGAATGGAAACTACATCCACTTCATTGTTCCTGAAACCTTTCTGAAAGTCTGATGCTAAGAAATAGCGTGTGTGTGTGGTGTTTCCCCACATGGCACTGAATGCAGGTCCAATATGGGAATGACATTTTTGTTTTCTGATGTCTCAGCAGGGAGGGACAAGCATTATAGGTGCCCTCTCCACAATTTGCAAAGTTCTATCATGTGCAGAATTACTGAGACTATCTCAAGGACCTAGTTTAATTAGCATTGTTCTTGTCATTTTGGACAGGTGCCGATGTGCTAAACAATGTACGAACACATAGAGGAAGAAGAAAGGAAAAATATGGGACTTTCAAAGATGGTTCAAAATACTGTTCTTATGATGCCACTTTGTGCACTGAAATTTGAGTTTCATGTGTCACAGTATGTAATTGCAGCAGTGGTAAAAGCAATCTCACGTAGAAAATTCAGGTTTTGCGTGCCCAATTTAAGTACCTGCTTAGAGTCTTCCATACCTGCATAAAACTTTTATTTACCAAACTTCAGGAGGAGAGTGGTACTAGCCTAATCAAAGGACTCAGTATTGGTATGGGTTTTGTCTGTTACTGCTACTGAAGCAGAAATGGGGACTGTGATCTGGATCATAGCCCTGGCTTATATAGTGTTTTGTTAGACCAAGGAAAGCAAAGGTGGGACAAGGAAAGCACTAAAGGAAGAATACATGGTGAGCTAGACTAACAGGGAACACAGGTGGTGTTGGATCAACTATAACAAGCCTGTGGTAAGAAGACAATCCTATTTTCTTGCTATTTCCAAAGAAAAATAGTTATCAGGATATGTAAATAAACTGAAGTCAAAAAGTTTCCCAGGTGTTTCATTGCACGGTACAAGTATTGCTAAAACGCAAGCAGACTCCACAGACAAAATGCTCCAGAGAAAGAATATATTTGCCCATTAAATACATTAGGCTGCTGCACTTAAAGATGAGTAATTCAGACTTTATGTGAATCCCTTTTAGAATGAGGCAGGTGCCAAGTGGTCTGCGTTTTATGATGAAGCCTCGAGGAATGCCAGCAATTTCCCATTAGCCAACATTAATGATGATCTCATCAGACTGCAGATTCAATCTCTCCAGGACAGAGGATCATCTGTGCTATCACCAGAAAAATATACCAGGGTAAGTTGCTAAATGTATCTCATTTTTTGCCATGCGAGTTGAGCTACACTCCAAAATGCCCCTGTGAGAGACCACAGTGTTATCACCAATCTTTGTTATTTCTCAGGATAATACTCTATCTCAAAATCAGTACGGAGAACATAACTTTACCGGGTGATCTTAGCAATATGGGGTTGGAGGGGGTCATGTCTGGCTTATGAATTTAGGTTCCCACTTAGGCAGGCAGCTTTGCCACATAATCCATGTAATGAATTTCAAGCTCATACATGCCTAACAGTTGCCCTTGCACAAATGGCGGGATTAGTCATAAGAGGAATAGAGTGCATGGGCTAAGTGCTTAGCTAAGTCAAGATATAGGGTAATGAACTGAAAGAGATGGGTGGAAGTACATGCAGTAGGACAAAAAGGCAGAGATGGAGGAGGTATTTCTTTCTCTGCATGTGCCAGGTTATCAGACGGAAAAAGAGGGTGTGTCTCTAGGTACCTTCTTCCGGCTGGTGATGCCACCACAAGACATCCCTGCATGCACCAGTTTGCCCATAGGCCCTCAATTCAGGCTCTCTGTGCAGCCCCACAAATGAAGGGGGAACAAGAACTGCAATAAGCGCCAGGTGCACTGGCACTCCTGAAATGGGAGCACATTGGCAACCCAGTTCCACAGAAGTCGGTTGAAGCCCAGTATTTAGCAAAGTTCAAAAAGAGATTTGACATTTCTATTGACAAATACGTGTAAAACGTATGTAAATAGATAACAAGCATCTGTGGAGCTGGAATGAGCAGCTATGCAGATTCAAGAGGGATTTATAACCAAATGTCTGAGCGTTTAAATTAGTTTCTTGTTACTGGAGATCAAATTGACACATAGCATTCAGTTAGGATATCTTACAGTCCTGATTATGGAAGGATGCTTAGATTTTTCTGCTGAGATCAGCAGTGTTAACCACCATGTAAGAAATGCAGCAGACTGGCTGGACCTCCTGTATGATGCAAACAAGATGTATTTCCAAAAGGAGAGATTACCTGGCTGGGAAGGCCAAAGGTTCATACAAATATATATTTGTTCTGGAGCACAGTGGTGTACTGATGGCTTTGCTGTTTCTGTTGAGGAGTTATTTTCGTCAATATCCTCCACATTTAGACACTTTCAGTTTCCTAGCTAAGAGGCCTTTGGGACTGAAATTGCTCATTCTTACCTGAAAAGTGACTTTTTGTACCGTTTGACAGTATTCCACAGGAATATTTAAATATTTTTCAGTGATACAAAATCTCCCTGTTTGCCTACTCATTTTAATGCTGACATAGAAAACTGTAGCTGGTCATTAACTATGCCTCCTGTCTGACAGCTCTAAATAGTTCTGATTCAAAACTTTAAATGTAGAGCAACATAGTCCTAAAGGAAAAAATAAGTGGTGCGTGTGTTACTTTAGGTATGAAAAGTTAAAATGAAAAAGAAAAAAGATAGAATACAAAGCTACGTATCATAGCTTCTGAGATGGAGCTGAATGATTTCAGATGTATTTGGCCTTCAGCTAATCCAAGACATGAAAAGTAACTCCTCTGTAATAACGTATAAGCAGATCTATACAGTCAGGGTGATGTGAAGTTAAAAAGCATAAGCAACAATCAGCCTGGCAGCATCTGCAAAGGGATCCCTCTTTCCTTCATTCAAAACCGCAGGCTACCTGGAAACTTTAGGTGGGTCCACATTCATAAAAATGTATTGCTAAACTTTATTGTTTTATTGCTGCTGTATATTTGAAAGCTCTCTCGTGACAGTCAGTGTTCATTAAATCCAGAGCTCTGCCTGACTGGATATTAAGCACCTGTAAAGTACGTCATATATCTGAGGGATTATCTGTCTTTTCCAGTTAGGTCCTGATTCAGTAATGCATTTAGGCAAATTCTTTCTTTAATCTCTACTGAGCTTAAATATATGCTTAAATGTTAAGCCTGTGAGTGAATCGAGCTCTCAGAGAGTTAGCATAATTGACTGCTATTTTGTACAGAATGTGTTTCTAATGGGCTATCTTGCATCTAACTTGCAGCTGAGCACGGCACTAAATACAATGAGTACCATCTACAGTACTGGGACCGTCTGTAAACTTAGTGATCCATTTAACTGTTTGGTGCTGGAACCAGGTACAGTATTAACAATTGTCTATACTGTCCTTTATACTGAAGGCTCAAAAAGAGGAAAGCCCAAGAGTGGCTCCCGACTGAGAGAACAGGCTGTAGTTTTAATAAACACATCCTGCTATCTAAAGCTTAATCATTATATAAATGCATCTTTCAGTTTGGTGATCTTCAGTGAGCCTGCTCCAGATGCGATGCACCACTAGATTTAGGAGATGTTAGGGCTGCTCAGCTTGTGTGACAACCTATCTGTTAACTGGGGTCTTTCTGCACCATGAAAATCTAATTTTTTGCCCAGTCATCAAAGTCTTGTCGGACTCAACAATGCATTGAGGCCAGTCCCAAGAACACCACTAACTTAAGGGAAGCTAATCTAGAGCAAGGTTATTTCAAGTGACTCTTGATCTGCCCCATGGCCCTTAAAGGGAAGAAGGGGAAACCTTTAGGTCAAAAAAGGATGTAATGAAAATAAGGGGATGTTTCAGCATATCAGACACAAGATGTTTCCTCCTTAGTTCATGCAACTACTTCTTTGGCTCTTTTGTCTACTGTAAAAGAAAACTTTGTCTACTGTTCTGTTTTACTAGGCTCTGTACTTATTTTTTTGTTCTGGCAGGTCTGGATGTTATTATGGCTGACAGCATTGATTATCATGAAAGACTGTGGGCTTGGGAAGGCTGGAGAGCTGGTGTTGGCAAGATGATGAGACCATTATATGAAGAGTATGTTGATCTTAAAAATGAGGCTGCGAAGCTTAATGGTAAGTTGTTTTTTTTTTTTTTTCCTGGCCTCCAGAGATTAAGAAAAATACCACAGCCTTGCACGCTTTGGACAGGAATTCAGAACCCACGATTTTGTACACACTGGTGAGCATTTTGCACATATTTTGCTCTCAATGTGCACAGAAGCAAAGTGAAAAGTAGTGAAGACAGATGCCAATGACCAGATCAGAATTATTTCACCAACCTGGAACAAAAGGTAGGTATCTTTGTTGGCACTTTTCCGAAATCCCACAGTGTACCACTGCCTTTCATTAGATACTGCACTGCTTGTGACTTATGGGCCTGTATGCTCAATTTACCAACTGCTGAGTGGGTCTCTATGTTCTTGGCAGCGTCTCTTCTTTTCCACTGGCCTTTACCTTATTGTGCTGACCACAAGCAATGTTACATTTTCAAGCGTTCTTCTCTGATCCTAACGATCAGATTTTTCTAGGCCTGGGTGGTGAAAAAGGATTTTGCACTAAGGGAAATGTCTTGTGCTGCTATTCAGAGATCTTCTTACAAATTACAGAAAATTATATTTTCAAGAAAAAGTGGCATACAGCTGCCATTTTTCTTTGGTGGGCTTCTAAAATACAGCATGAACACCTAGCGCAAAATAGCTACATCATTTGTGTCTTGGCAAAACTACAGCTATACTAGCTTACTCCTTGTTTCTTGAAAGTTATTAAGCTGAAGCTAGGGACCAAGTTTGAGAAATTATAGTTCAAATAATTAAATAGAGGAAAAAAAGTTATCTTAGTGGAAAATCTCAAGCAAGCATGGGCATCATCATGACTTTCCCCCCAAAAGAGACCTCAAGAAAGAGTGAGGGAGAGACCTCACTTATGAGTCATTCTTTCTCCAGGCTTAATAGAGCTGGACTTAGTGAAACTGGAAGTTGACTCTCAGTCCTGATGTTTACACTTGTCCTAAAGGTTTGTTCCTGAAGGACAGGGCTTGTATTTAGTATCCACCAGTGTATACCTTCTCTGAGAAACCGTATGATCCAGCCTGAGCCAAGGCTGCCCTCCCCTCAGACCTTGAGGAACTCCATTTGGGAGTGATGGCTTCCCTGACTTCCATCTCCAATTAGAATGACCCTAATTAGCAGATAAGTATGACTGCAATTTCCACTACTCTTGGAAATCCACATCCACATGTCAGTGGAACAGACCCTTCATGGAACACTCTTCTTCCGTGCAGACATTTCAAGGTACTGTGTCATGATGTAATATGTCCTTGTTTTACAGGTTATTCTGACTATGGAGATTACTGGAGAGCAAACTATGAGGCAGATTATCCGGAGAAGTATAAATACAGCCGTGACCAGCTGATTGAAGATGTGGAGAAGACATTTGAGCAGGTAGAGGCTCCATGTTAGAGCAGGAAATAGCTCTTACCTGTGCCACAGGATTGTATTTTGTGATGTCTACAGAGGTGGGCTTCATGTGTCAATGTTGTGAGGTAACATTAGACCTGCTCAAAACTATCTGGTCTTAATCTATGCAGGGTTTACAGATGCCAATGGACGTTCATGACATTTTTACCTCAGTAGTGCTTCCAGGGCAAGCCGAAAAGCAAGACGCAAAGAGCACATAGAACTGTACTCTCTGAGGAAATGTCCTTCTCCCCTTGATCCTAAAGGCCCTAGATTTGTTGAAAAAACTATCTTTGTAGTCAGCCTTTTTGGAGCCAGACGTCCTTTCCTACAGACGCCCAACAGTAGTCCTGTGTATGGACAGTACAGCTTGGCCCTACACATGCTATGGTGAGGCAAAGGCTGAGAAAGAAGGTATTCTGCTGATCCTTGTCTCTCCCTTCTAGGTAGGGCTTATGAGAAGGTATTTTTCTTATAGAGTAAATGGTATCCTTGATACTCCAGGTCTAAAATTAGAAATGCTCCTTCCTTCATATTGAAGCAGGAATTCTGGGGCTAGGATTGGGGCTCAGAGTTTGAGCCCTTGGGAGAGAGGACAAAGGTCAGTTGCAGATTTCGAGATGCGCTTACTTGGCAGGTGAATTTAGTCAGCGATACAGCTTTGAGGCTCTCTATTCAGAGGGGAGAAGTGGGATAGAAGAAAAAGAAATTAATTTGTTTCCTTCTCCTCCTCCCCCTCCAGATAAAACCTTTATATGAGCAGCTGCATGCCTACGTAAGGTACAGGCTGGAGCAGGTCTATGGTCCAGAACTCATCAGCTCAACAGGATGCCTCCCTGCTCATCTGCTCGGTAGGAAAATGCAGCCTTATCACGCAAGCTTGACTTGATACAAAAGACAGGTACTTTTAAGGCACACAGGAACAGAGTAATCTGCCTGTTTAATCAGTTATTAACAAATAGATTACAGATAAGGAAAGGTGAGAGGAGAAACAGAGAAGGAAAGCACTTGGCAGAGATGACACAGGTGCTTAGCAGCAGAGGTGGGCAAAGAAGGCAGCTTTACGGATCCTCACGGGAGTGTGGCAAGCCCAGCACAAAACTGCGGTTCATCAGCACCTGGACTGAGACATTTTCCTCCCTTCCACAGCACTTGTCTTGCTCAGAAGTGAGAATTTCAGATAGATTTTTTTTTTCCTAAATCCTGTTCTCAGCTCCAGCATTTCAAGGCTGCTTTCAAAATATGCAATATCAAGCTGCCATTACTGTAATATATATGAGCATGGTAGCTCAGTGACACAGAGTAACAACATAGATTATCAGTTTTGAATAGACCTTTTGAAAGGCGATCAGTCTATATCATGCAAACATAGCTTATCTTGGGGAATAAACGAATCTTTGATCTGACTCTGACCCATGGATGACTTCCCAGAGCTGCTCCTCTCCACTTCAAAGACATTTGACTCAGACCTGTTTAGGCATACAAGGATCCCTGTTTATGATATTACAGAGCTTACAGAATTGTCTGGCACTTTTGAACAATATAGAGTCAATTATTTAAAGTATATCTAATGTTTCTCTCTTTTTTTGAAGGTGACATGTGGGGCAGATTTTGGACAAATCTGTATGCCTTGACTGTTCCCTATCCAGCCAAACCAAACATTGATGTAACTTCTGCAATGGTTAAAAATGTAAGACGTGTGATGAAACCATTAGCTATATGCATTATATAACAAATTTAGACTGTAAAAATTACATCGCAAGTAAACCACTATCTAGAAAATCATAGCTGTCCTAAGGCAGTGAAATAATTTTTTTCTGCACCTATTTTTGCCCTTCCCCTAAATCTGCTCATTCATTTTCCACTGTACTTTTTCCTTTAACTGTTCAGTCTTTCTTCTCCACCCTCTTTGGCTAATCTCAGCTCTAAGTCTGTTTTCCTCAGAGGCATCTATCCATTAAGAGATATATTATGCATATATAAATATTTCAGGATTTATGGGGTTAGCTGGAATCAAATATGACCTTTGTCAGCCATTACCACAATCAAATAGTTTGTATATCACAGTGGGTTTTTTTACCTGTCTTGTTTATCTGGATACAACTAGGAAACTGCAATGCTGTCTGTTATCTTTTGATAACTGCATAGCACCATAAGGTCTATGTTTGAGATCTGTAGAGATAACAACCGTGACAGCACCTTTATCATACCTAGGATGTGGGTGAAGACAACTGTGTACATTTGCCTAAACTTTATTCCTTTTATGAAGTCAAATATGATCAATGGGATTTGGTTTCTAAAATGTGACTGTTTACCTAAAACCTACCCTCCTCTCATGGGGAGGGCTCCTTTCAAATGTCATAGTTGCAAGACAAGGAATAGCTAAATTTGACTCAAATAGTTTACACAAGTCTGTATTCATCTTGCCCCTTTTCTACAGCGTTGATGCCCTTGTAGTCTTCAATTTGCGTATACTAGAGCATCATCCTGAGGAAGGGAAGCATTACTTACAGAGTTTCAGGGCAGACACCTGGATTCACCCTTGTTCATGGATGTGCCTAACGTAGGAGTCTCATCCAAATTAGCCATCTGGGCTAACCTTACAGTCGGCAGGTTCATGTCAACTAAATCTATGCAAAAAATCAGTCAAGTAAACGCAGAGCTCCTGCTATTTAGAATGAAAAAATGCTGAATGACCTTTAAAAACCCTCTGGACCCTTACATGCAATTCCAGTCTGATAAGCAAATCTTATAGATACCTTCACCAGGTTTTATTATTCTGGCCTAGATCTCTTCTCACTCATTTGCTAGCAGTACAGCTCTACTCCCTCAAACAAGCTATCCCCGAGTGCAGTGGCTGAAGGAGGAACGGGATCCCAGATCTGACATGTTACTGATAGGAATACCTTTTTCTTGTTAACCATGTTATCTTTTATTTAATGCTTCTGTATTCTGGGTCAGATGCTCTCTGCTGACTGAGTGCAGAAATCTAGTTTATTTGTGGGGGAAAATTTCATTCCAGTTCCCAGTAGTATTTACAAAATTGCCAGTAACAGACATTTACTTTCAATAAGTAAGATGTTGATCTGAAGTCATTGAGAGACAAATTTGCAATCAACTGTACTGTTTTAAGTCAGTTGCCAGAATAAATCTGATTTAAGGAGCTGTCGGAACAGGCTTCCTACAGAAGAAATGGCTAATGATGGCACCATCTGTTTTAGAAATGGGATGCGATGAAAATATTCAAAGCTGCTGAGGCCTTCTTCAGCTCCATTGGACTCTACAATATGACCAAGGACTTCTGGAATAACTCCATGCTCACAGAGCCGACTGACAACAGGAAGGTGGTTTGTCATCCTACAGCATGGGATATGGGGAAAAAGGACTACAGGTACTGCAATTACTTTCTTATACCATTTCCTAGAATATTAATATTTTTAGTAAAGGTCTGCAATGGCAAATTGCTGGGTTTTTAAGTTAAAATTTTTCCCTTTTTTCTGTTTTGCTGGTTAATAAGAGCAGAATGGGAGACGAGAACAGTATATACCTTGTGGGAATGTAAACCAACAATACCATGTGACTTTTTCTGTGAAGATCTAAGGATTACTTTCAAATTTAGGCAGAGGAAGAAGATCATTTATATAAATTAGAGAAAGATTATGTTATAGGGCTTGAAAAATAAGCACATTCTTGTTGACACCAGTGGGATTTGCAGACTCCTACATATTCTGCAATAATGCTACAGATCCTTAGATAGCACAGATCTCATGATAGCACACTTGCTATCTTTAGTAAATGTATCAGAAGTAGTAGATAGACTTCCAGACTTTTATGAAAAAACAATCAATTTCATCTTTGGAAAATGAGAGGGACTGCAAGTTCCCTGATAATGAAGTCTCTTGGGACAAATTCTGTCCCCTCTTGCAACCCCTGCAAGAGGGTTAATCAAGGGAAGAGGCTGACCCCCAGTAAATCCTTGATTGAGAGCTGGAAGTGGCCAGCATCATACCTCACACCTGAGCAGTTTGGGGAAGGTGAAAGGAAACTGTATTTGCAAAGGAAGAAGTAGTTTCCTTTATTAAATGGTACCTGCATGCAGAAAAATATCAGGTGTCACCAACATACATTTTTTTGACACTACTATCTACTTTTAAAGATAGAGAATGGACATTCACTCGTTTATGGAGAGTGCAGCCGCAGCCTTCAGAATAGCAATGTTCTCTTACTCCCAGCTAAATTTGAAGGAGGCTTTAATATTTTGTTGAGTTCCTCTCCAAGCTTCACTTAAAGGAGCTATACATCACGGTAGGAGGTGGATATTCGGGTTTTGCTTGGAGCGGGAGGAATTAGCAAGGTTGCGAGGCTGTTCTGCCTCCACAATTATGCTGGGGGGGTGGTTTGGGCAGCTGCCGGGCTGTGCCAGACTCTGTCTTACTGTGAACACAACACTTTGCCCTGGAGCGCAGAATCAAGATGTGCACCAAAGTGACTATGGATGACTTCCTGACGGCACATCATGAGATGGGCCACATCGAATACTATATGGCATACTCTCCTCTGCCTTACCTGCTGAGAAGCGGGGCAAATGAGGGGTTCCACGAAGCTGTCGGCGAAATCATGTCGCTCTCTGCAGCTACGCCTCAGCATTTGAAATCTCTTGGCCTCTTAGAGCCAACTTTCCAAGAGGATGCAGGTAAATAAACCCCTAAAAATTATATATTCAAATACAAACACTCACTGTATTTTGTGTTAGAATAAAGCTGAGTAAGCAATCACAGAATCACAGAATCACAGAATCTGTTAGGTTGGAAGGGACCTCTGGAGGTCATCTAGTCCAACCTCCCTGCTCAAGCAGCGTCCTCTAGAGCATATTGCCCAGGATCACATCCAGATAGATTTTGAATTTCTCCAGCGAAGGAGACTCCACTACCTCCCTGGGCAACCTGCTCCAGTGCTCTGTCACCCTCACGG